AATTAGAATATGTGTAGAGGAGTCATTATCAGACTGGAGCAATTTAAATGGAGTCCAAGAGAAATGGGATTATTTAAAAGTTGCACTATTGAAGGCAACAGAAAATTGCATTAGGCTTGTCAGTAAAAGCAAAAAATTCAAGAAACCACTGTGGTACTCTGCAGATATGGCCAAAATAATTAAAAACAAAAAGTTAGCATTTAGGAATTATAAAAAAAACCAGAGTGAGGAAGACAAAATGATCTATAAGTTTAGGCAGAAAGAGGCTAAGCAAGTTATAAGAGCTTCCAAATCACACACAGAAGAGAAAATAGCACAGTCAGTAAAAAAGGGGACAAAACATTTTTTAGATACATAAATGAGAAAAGAAAAGTAATACAAGGATTAGTTAGATTAAAAAAACAAAAGAAGGAAGTTATGTAGAAGAGGATAAAGGTCTAGCTGACTGCTTCAATGAATATTTTTGTTCTGTATTTACAGATGAAAATGAAGGAAAGGGACCTCAGTTGAGAAAAAGGATAAATGAGTCATTTATTACACGTGAGTTTACAGAGGAAGAGGTTCTATTTCAACTGTCAAAAGTAAAGACAAATAAGTCAATGGGACCTGATGGAATACACCCAAAGCTATTAAAAGAGCTTAGTGGTGTACTAGCAAAATCATTAACAGATTTATTTAACCAATCATTGTTAACAGGAGTAGTCCCAGAAGATTGGAAGTTAGCGAATGTTGTGCCCATTTACAAGAAAGGTAATAGGGAGGAGTCGGGCAACTATAGTCCAGTAAGCCTTACTTCAGTAGTGGGGAAAGTGATGGAAACCATGTTAAAGGATAGGATTGATGAACATCTAAAAACACATGGATTTCAAGATTTGAGACAACATGGGTTTACTTTAGGGAGATCATGCTAAACTAATCTTATTGATTTTTTTGATTGGGTAACTAAAATTATAGATCAGGGTGGTGCAGTAGACATTGCTTACCTAGATTTCAGTAAGGCTTTTGACACTGTTGCACATAGAAGGATTATCAATAAACTGCAATCTTTAAGTTTAGATTCCAATATTGTTGAATGGGTAAGGCAGTGGCTGAGTGACAAGCAACAGAGGGTTGTAGTTAATGGAATATATTCGAAGCTTGGACTTGTCACCAGTGAGGTACCTCAGGGATCTGTACTTGGACCCATTCTCTTTAATATTTTTATTAGTGATATTGCAGGTCTTGATGGTAAGGTATGTTTTTTTGCTGATGATACTAAGATATGTAACAGGGTTGATGTTCAAGGAGGGATAAGCCAAATGGCAAATGATTTAGGTAAACTAGAAAAATGGTCAGAATTGTGGCAACTGACATTTAATGTGGATAAGTGCAAGATAATGCATCTTGGACGTAAAAACCCAAGGGCAGAGTACAGAATATTTGATAGAGTCCTAACCTCAACAATTGAGGAAAGGGATTTAGGGGTGATTATTTCTGATGACTTAAAGGTAGGCAGACAATGTAATAGAGCAGCAGGAAATGCTAGCAGAATGCTTGGTTGTATAGGGAGAGGTATTAGCAGTAGAAAGAGGGAAGTGCTCATGCCATTGTACAGAACACTGGTGAGACCTCACTTGGAGTATTGTACACAGTACTGGAGACCGTATCTTCAGAAGGATATTGATACCTTAGAGGGTTCAGAGAAGGGCTACTAAACTGGTTCATGGATTGCGGGATAAAACTTACCAGGAAAGGTTAAAGGATCTTAACATGTATAGCTTGGAGGAAAGACGAGACAGGGGGGATATGATAGAAACATTTAAATATATAAAGGGAATCAACACAGTAAAGGAGGAGACTATATTTAAAAGAAGAAAAACTACCACAACAAGAGGACATAGTCTTAAATTAGAGGGACAAAGGTTTAAAAATAATATCAGGAAGTATTACTTTACTGAGAGGGTAGTGGATGCATGGAATAGCCTTCCAGCTGAAGTGGTAGAGGTTAACACAGTAAAGGAGTTTAAGCATGCGTGGGATAGGCACAAGGCTATCCTAACTATAAGATAAGGCTAGGGACTAATGAAAGTATTTAGAAAATTGGGCAGACTAGATGGGCCGAATGGTTCTTATCTGCCGTCACATTCTATGTTTCTATGTTTCTATGTTTCTTTATAAATCACTGGTAAGACCACATCTTGAATATGCTGTACAATTTTGGGCATCTGTTCTAAAGGATATTATGGCTATAAAAATCTAATAAAACATTTATTCACAAAAAAATAAAAACAAAACATGGCAACAAAGAAAAAAATTAAACGACCACTGCTCAAAAGTCTGCAAACCCTTAGTTCTTAATACTGTGTATTGCACCATTCTGCATCAATGACAGCGTGCACACTTTTGTAGTAGTTGTCTACGAGGCCCCAAATTCTTGCAGGTGGTATAGCTGCCCATTCATCTTGGCAAAATGCCTCCAGGCCATGCAAAGTCTTTGGTTGTCTTGCATGAACCACACATTTGAGATCTCCCCAGAGTGACTCGATGGTATTAAGTTCAGGAGACTATGGTGGCCACTCCAGAACCATCACCCTTTTCAGCTAAAACCACTGGAGACATTGGCCTTGTGATTAGGGTCATTGTCCTGCTTGAAAGTCCAAGAGCGTCCCATGCACAGCCTTCGTGCAGAAGAATGCAACTTGTCTGCTAGTATTTTATGATAACGTGCTGCATTCATCTTACCCTCAATTCTCACAAGATTCCCAGTGCCTTTAGAGCTCACACACACCCAAAACATCAGTGAGCCACCACCAAGCTTCATAGTGGGGATGGTATTCTTTTTAACATTTATTAAATATTAAAATAAAAGTATTACAAATAAGATAAACCTAAATACAAGAAAGGGAAAATTAAAATGTGGTGTGCCAAGTATGGGGTACATTGACATTGTGGCAGGCTTATACTATATATGATCATATAATGTAACTAAACCCCCATTATTTTTTGCCTAGGTGAGGTATTTTTCAATAAAACTTTTACAATCTGTCAGATTGTTTAGTGAATAAGCGAGTGCGCTGGACTGTATTTTCTATATAAAATACACATTATGTATTGTTATTTTATATAGGTCTATATATATATATACACATATAAAAAATAAACAATCCAGCACACTCGCTTATTCACTAAACTTCACTAAATTTCACCTACTTGTTTTTTTCAGCTTATTCACTAAATAATGATTTAAAATTTTATAGATTGTAATAGTTTTATTTAAAAACACCTCACCTAGGCAGAAAAATAATGGGGGCTATGTTACATTATATCTTGGTTCCCTCGACGGCACATATTTTCCTATAACTTCAGTAGCTTCAGTCTATTTAGCCTGTGTGATTTTACAATTGTCGGCTCAGTGAGATTGTATTTAATGGTGCTTATGACTAGATAGATCAGGGCATTAGACTGAGTTTTAACATGGTCGACTGGGGATTGCCACAAACTTGTCACTTTTAGGATTTTTTCGGCAAACATTACGAGTGACAGTTTCGGCAATAATCCCCCTTCCTTTTCCCATCAAATTCCTTGTCTTTAAATTGCGTGATTATTGCATAAGCATTTCTATCTCTATCTAGTTTTGTCATGCTTTTATCCTTATATTTAATACGTTATGTTTAAATATGACCCTTATTCCATAACAAGGACAGTTTACATTCTTTTTTTCTATCATATTTCCTATCAGGATTACCCCCTCTTTTCTGTCCTGGATCACTCACTAATAAATTTCCAACCTTTTCTGTTTTGGTATTCTTTTCACTATATGCCTTGTTGATCCCTCTCCAAACATAGCTATTTTGGTATCATCATTCCAAATTACAGTGTGCCGAAAGCTGTGAGATGTGTCAAGGTATTGTCGGATATATTGTAACTCGGCTTCTTTGTGGCATTGGTGCAGTAAATGCTTCTTTTTGGAAACTCGACCATGCAGCTCATTATTGTTCATGTATCATTGGAGGAGGTATTGTGCTCCTTGAAACAACCACAGTGTCTTTTTCCAGAGTAGCCTGTATTTCTCTTGAGGTTACCTGTGGGTTTTCTTTGTATCCCAAACAATTCTTTTGGCAGTTGTGGCTGAAATCTTTCTTGGTCTGCCTGACCTTGGCTTGGTATCAAGGTATTCCCAAAGTTTCCATTTCTTAATAAGTGACTGAATAGTACTGAATGACATTTTTAAAGGCTTTTGATATCTTTTTATATCCTTTTCCATCTTTATAAAGTTCCATTACCTTGTTATGCAGGTCTTTCAACAGTTCTTTTCTGCTCCACATGGCTCAGTGCATCCACGTGAGAGCTAACAGACTCATTGACTATTTATACACAGACACTAATTACAATTTAAAAAGCCACAGGTGTGTCTGTAACAAGGCCAAACATTATATGTAAACTTTTGATCAGGGCCATTTGGCTGATTTCTGTTATCATTATGCTTTAAAAAGGAGCCAAACAACTATGTGATAATAAATGGCTTCATAAGATCACTATCCTTTAATAAAATAATTTTTTTTTGATGAGTCATATTTTCAAATCAATGCCAATTTTCACAATTTCTGCCAGAGTATGCAAACTTTTGAGCACAACTGTCGCTGAGCACAGTTTAGATAATTTTACTATAGTAGCACACAGACATAAGATTTGAAAAGTATGCAACATAAATATGTAAAAAATATAAAATAAAATGGATTTTAAAAACTTTTAAAGAAATTGTGGGAATGTCACCTAACTAAAACTCAAACTGTATCTGTACTGGGATTTGTACTAGAGTAAAATTGTAAATGATACTGCCCCTATGACACAGTATGCTAGCAGATGAATAAAGTCTATATGACCCTAAGCGGTCATAGTAGTTAACAGCGATAGTTTAGTAAATTGCAGGCAACAGAGACATTATAGTTTACCTGGCATCAGCCTATATATATATATATATATATATATAATGAAGAGGAATAGTTAAAAATATCAGTCAAAGTAAAGAAAACCAGACTCTCATAAATTCTCATATATTTTAAGCTGACTTTATTTGAATTTTTTTTTTAAATTTGAAAGGACAGTGCAAGCTCTTCCCAAATATAATACAACTAAGAGTCATACATTTATTGTATCCACATGCTCTATAACCATATTAAAGTGGTGGTATTTCTGCTCCTATGCCAACACTTTAGCAGTAGCCAATTCTGCAACCCACAAGCTTGTCTATTAGTAGCCCATTCAACCTGTTCCCCCATTATAGTCAGTAATAGCCAATACTCACTCTCCCTTTCCAATAGCCAGTAGTAGGTCATTCTATCAATCTCTCTACATAGACAGTAGTAATCTATTTTTCACACTGTTGTCCCCATAACCAGTAGTTATTTATTTTTATACCCAGTCTCTATAATCAGTGGTAATCTATTTTCACACTCCTTTCCCTTTAGCCAGTGGTAGATCAGTCTCCGTCACCCTCCATTCTCAAGAATCTCAAGTTGATTTATTTGAAGAAAAAGCTTAGATTTGAATTTGAAAGAACTCCTTTGACACCGAAGAAACCTGGTCATTTCAGACAAGGAATGGATAGCGTGAACTCTTCTCAAATTCATCTGATCTACAAATAGGAAAGAAAAAGAAGTTGTATCAACATACTCTATAATCCTGCCATTCAGGTTACAGAATAAATCAAATTATATAAGCTTTAACATAAAGTTTACTGTAAATTATGTCTGTTTTTCTACATTCAGGTGGTATTTTTGAGAACCTTCATTCATGAAGACACTAGTAGGTCCCATGGAAAAACTCATCATGGCATTTAATCAATTTCGTATATGTCTGTTGGTCATACCAATGATATGTAGGACAGAACGTATTTATGTTTCTATGCCAATAATTCAAACCTGTTTTTTTATGAATGAAGAGTGTAACTTTACAAAGTTTGATTTGGTATCACCAAACAGCAGTAAGTAAGGTTGAACATCCTTAATGATAGCGACAGTATGATTATAATTATGGCCCATCAGTCTATTGTGAAGGAATGCTCTAACTTTAGAAAGGGGAAGTACTTATGTTCAAGTCTCAGCAAGAGAGGTACAACTGACAGAATAGCAGAGTAAGCAAAATCTAGAATGTTTTTATTTTTACAAGGTTTCCTGTGATCTTAAAGGACAACTTTCACTTCTAACCTATTTTTAATATAATACGTTTTTGATAGATTTTAAATGAAGTATATGTAAAAAAAGAGACAAACTCATTCATCATTCGGCCATATATGTGAACCTTGGATCAGACAATGTTTGAATACCAACAGTCTCTGTGGTCTTCTCTGCTTCATTCTCTGCACAGTAGCAGGGAAGATCAGAGACTCTATAAGATGAAACAAACATAATGGTGCATGTATCAACGTTTATTGGCAGACCTCCTAGGCAGCTTTCTCACACATTGCTATAATGCAGAGAACACTGGGAGAGTCCACCATTCTTAGCACTAATTACACTATATATTGTGAAGGATCTTTCACAGAGTATTAAACTTGGAGATTCGTTTTTTTTTTCAAACTACAATCCATTTAAATTTTCGCCAATAGGGTGAACGTTCAAATTCCCGACTTCCAACTGCCATACAGATGTACAACTGAACAAATGACAAACATGTTTTTTTGCATTGGGAATCAAAATTCTGCCTGTGGAACCAAGAAAATAAATAAAGGGGAAAAAAATGATTGCTGTGTAGGGAATTTAAATAATAAATACATTATATTTACATATCTAATATATGTATATAATATTCACATATAAAAACACATTTTTACTTCTCTTGGTTACTTTTTTCTTGTTTTGTGAATTAAATGGCTAAAAAATGCATTTATAATGTATACCCCAAATGCACCCCATTTAGTTCATCTGATTTGTTTTTCCTGGATAAAAAAAAATTCTGAAGACCTGAACTGCCACATGGATGACATGGTTTGGCCCAAAACAATGCTTCTTCCTTGCACAAGTCTACTGAGCACCTAAAAAAACTTTGGGAATCTAGGAGGGAGACTCTCGTTCAGCACAGGTAAAGAAGCAGTGGCAAAATCAGGCAAGTCTTATAATTTTGGAATCAACCAGCCATACTTCTTTCCTCCTCCTGCTGTCCACTTACATGCTTTTGCACACTTTTCCTCCCTACACTTTCTGGTGCTTGGAGCCAGGGTCGGACTGGCCCACCAGGATACCGGGAAATTTCCCGGTGGGCCGCGGCACTTGGGGCTGGGCTGACAGCCCTAATCATTACTTAGGCTCCTGTGATCCCGGCCGGCCATGTGCGAGCTGCGCGGCCGCACAGGGCCCCATGAGAGCAGAGGGAGCCAGGCGGCCGGCACAGCTCACACATGGCCGGCCGGGATCATAAAAATTAAAAATAAAAAAAATTGCGGCGGGGCGGAGCTAGCATGCGACGGGGACGAAGCCTAGTGTGCGGCAGGGGTGGAGCGTAGCGTGTGGTGGGGGCCCTGGTAACTGCATCATGGGAAGCAAGAAGGAGTCCCTGCTTCCCCAACAACCAGCCTCCAGGATCTCCAAGGGAAGTGGAGGTAAGAAGCAGGTCTGTGTGTGACTGCCTGTGAGTGTGTGTGACTGTCTGTGTGTGACTGTGTGTGTGTGCGTGCCTGTGAGTGTGTGTGACTGCCTGTGAGTGTGTGTGACTGTCTGTGTGTGTGTGTGTGTGACTGTCTGCCTGTGTGTGTGACTGTGTGTGTGACGGTCTGTGTTTGTGTGTAACTGTCTGCATGTGTGTGTGTGACGGTCTGCCTGTGTGTTTGACTGTCTGTGAGTGTGTGGCTGTCTGCCTGTGCATGTGGCTGTCTGCCTGCATGTTTGACTGCCTGCCTATATGTCTGCCTGTGTGTGTGGCTGTCTGCCTGTCTCTGTATGTGTGGATGTTTGCCTCAGTGTCAGTGACTGTCTGCCTCTGTGTGTGTAGATGTCTTTGTGTGTGTGCATCTGCTAGTGAGTGAGCAAGCAAGCTACTGTGTGTGTGTGTGCCTGCTAGTGAGTGAGCTTGCATGTGTGTCAGTGAGCTTGTCTGTAGGGATCATATGTGTGTGTGCGTGTTAGTGAGCTTGTCTGTAAGTAGCATGGGGGTGTCGGAGCCTGTCTGTGGTGAGCATGTGTTTACAGTGAGCTTGTCTGTAGTAAGCATGAGTGTGATCATGAGCTTGTCTGTAATGACCATATGTGTGTCAGTGAGCTTGTCTGTAGTGAGCATGTGTGTGTCAGTGAGCTTGTCTGTAGTGAATCTGTTTGTTAGTGAGCTCTTCTGCAGGGAGCATCTGTGTGTCAATGGGCTTGTCTGTAGGGAGCGTGTGTGCGCATCAGTGAGCATGTGTGTGATAGTGAGCTTGTCTATAGAAAGCTAGTGTGTGTATCAGAGTTTGTCTGTACTAAATTTGTGTGTGTGACAGTAACCTTGTCTGTGTGTGTCATTGAGATTGTCTGTCAATGAGCCTATTTGTGTGCATCAGTAAGATTGTCTGTGTGTGAGTATGCTTTACTGTATAATTTAATTACCCTGAAAGAACTAATATTTTGAATTAGAAGAAGAAATGTATCAATAATATATGTTGTACCTTGCACTCAGGCTTATATGTATCAATAATATATGTTGTACCTTGCACTCAGGCTTCAAAGTTGTGTGGCTGGGTGCATCATCAAGGCTCCAGTATCCAGGCAATTGAAATAGTTGGCTGCACTCTCAGATTTCCTTAAAATGTAACTTTTATTGAAATATTTAAGAGAAGATCAACGTTTCAGTCCCTCTTGTGGACTTTCATCATGATCCTGATGCAAGTCCACAAGAGGGACTGAAACGTTGATCGTCTCTTAAATATTTCAATAAAAGTTACGTTTTAGGGAAATCTGAGAGTGCAGCCAACTATTTCAATTGCATATATATATATATATATATATATGATGTGGATATCAATCAATAAATTGATTATCTTGTGTATCTGCCCCTTTCCAAATTGGTTATGGTGCATTCATGCTTTCCAAAGTAAATCACACCAGACACATGTATCTTGTGGACTTGGATCAGGATCATGATGAAAGTCCACAAGAGGGACTGAAACGTTGATCTTCTCTTAAATATTTCAATAACGAAATCTGAGAGTGCAGCCAACTACTAAATGTAGAAAATATGTAATCGATAGTCACATTTACTTTATGACAATTACCAGCGGTTGGGTATCGTGTTAATAGTTTGTAGATGGGCCTAGCATTCTGTATTATATCACTAGTTTCAATAATTAGTCCTGAGTTCTTAACTCTCCACATACATACCTTAGTAATATCTGTCATCCTCATCCTTCCACAAGGAGCCATACTTGGCAAATTTGACCATCCCATTATCAATGACAATGATTGATCGATCACTTGGAACCATGAAGTTCATGCACATCAGCTCATTCTTATCTCCACGTTTTGCAATGACTGTCACATAGATCGTTCCCTGCAGAGGAATCTTAATGTATTCTCTTGAAGGACATCTTATGTACTGGATCCTAGAATCTGGCTTTAGGTTCACATTTAACTTTGTAGCTAAGTTATTATGTGCTTCAACCTCCTTTTCTGAAGCTTTTACACCTGTGTCCGTAGTGACTTCAAATGCTATCTCCGAGATGTGTAGCTTCGTTGATTGAAAGTAGATCATGATCTCAGCGTTACAAGCATTGGCAATATGAGAGTTTTCATTACCCATTTCTAGAATTAAAAACAAAAACTAAGTCTTATAAAATATAAATTTTAATTAGACCAATTTTTCTACATTTCCACATCTTACCATTGGGTGGTGCCAGAACTTATCCTTCTTGAAGTCTTTCTTTAAACAACAGAATAGCAAAGACATGGAGCAAACAAACCAATACTCATGATCTAACAACTGTGTTTAAGAAAAAACAAACAAAAAAAACCTGTTTCACAAAGTCTATAATGGTAAAGTAGACATAATTTCTAAACCAATGACAAAAACAAAGAGTTACAGTGTATTTGCCATTTGATTAGATACCTGGTTTGTACAAAATGTAGAAAATATGTAATCGATATTCACAGTTTAATAAAAAGTAATCAAATATTCTATTGGAGCACAATCACTGGGAGATGCTACTAGAGGCACAATCTCCATAATGGAGGCAGACAATGTGAGGAAAAGTAAGGTGAGCTTAGGGGATAAACAAATGGCATGAATGATAAGTAACCTGGAATAGTGAGTATAGAAGGGATAACACAGTAGTTGTATAAATAAATGTTCTGTTTTCCTTGAACCCTTTTGTTTATGAATCGAATGAATCTTCTTTCCAGATTTTCAGAAATAAGGTGGAACATCCAAAATTAAAAGTAAACCATAATTTTACCTTTACTTTTCAGTAGACAACTTTTCTTCAGACTTGAAATAAAGTTGCTGAGAATTCTATCCACCTCAGAGTACCAATAAATGTAAAGCAAATTGTCCTGAATAATTGATAAAAACAAAAATAATTTTTACAAAAAGTCGATTAAACCATCAAAGTCTTAACAGTTAGCTGGTAAGTGTTTGGGATATCCATTTTAAAATCTTTAACAATCCAATTTGGCAAAATTAATTTAAGTAGTTAAAGAGAGGGGAATCCTAAAGACACATTCCAGTTAGCAGTCTGAATAGCATACAGTAAATCAGTCAGAGATTGAAGTGTAGGTGAGAGAAAGAGTAGTCCTTTAACCCCTTAAGTACCAAACTTCTGGAATAAAAGGGAATCATGACATGTCACACGTCATGTGTCCTTAAGGGGGTAAGCTGGTCCAGTCTGATAACACTAATTGATCTCAGAATTTATGGAAATCCAGAAAGCAAAGGTAAAATAACAAGCTGGGTCATACATGAGAAGTAATATAAATCAAAGATTTTTGTGATATTCTTTTTACACTCACAAAGAGTTGGGGCCCAGAAATAAACTTCTTATAGAGAGTATGAAGGCAATCTCAAGGCAGTATACATTATTAGGAAAAGAGGCACTGAAGGTGTACGCTACTTAACAGCAAGTGTGGCATCCATCAGAGTCTCTTAAATATACAGTTGCAAAAAATAAACCATTTAAAGATATGTCAGATATTAATAGAATCATAACCATAAAATGGAGTTACCTTTATGAGAATTATAGTTAATCTTTCCTCGGAAGCTCCCAGTTTAGGAATTTCTCACTCTACAGAACAAAGTTATGGCACACAGTACCTTGAAAGACTAACTGAACAGTATTTTACTCTTCTTTGTATTAAGGTGTTCAGTACAAAATTACAGTTGCCACACCAACATGTGAGAAATGGGAGAATGGGAAGTATTTTCAGGCTTAAATAGCAGCGAGTCATACCGGAGATAAAATTAAGGCTGATAAAAAACAAGCATTTCTGTGTAAAAAAAGGTGTGGTCAAGAAATACAAGCAATAGAGAACAACCAAAAGTGGAAAAACCGGTTTCTAAATGCAAAAAATAGATATTTGCATAATGTTGTGCAACATATTTCATGATAAAACACAAGTTATGGCTATGTGTCACGACATGCTGGGAGAGGCAGGTGCACCATACTCACTCACCGAAGTGCTGGCTAGGGAGCCTTCATAGCAACTGTGTAACCATGGCTGGTACCCTTTGTTACTGTTGCCTCCAGGCTAACTGAAAGTTGGACCGTAGAAAAGATGCTCCTAGCGCTCACCAAAGGACCACCATCACCGTAGACACCATAAGTACTACAGACTCCACGAACCGCCGCTGCGGGGCTTGGATCTCGCCATCTCTTATCCACCCTGGACCTATGACCAGGCTCCAGGTTCCAGTGGGTGAATCTCTTCCTTCTGTACAGCGAAGCAAGATCAGGAACAAGAGCTCTTACAAGAGCTCAGTAGCTAAGGGAGTATGAAGAGCATAGCAATCCCTGAAATGATTATAGCTGTCCCCTCCAAACACGAGTCAAATAGGGTCAAGTAGAACTGTTTAATGAGCACCAAAGGACTTTCTTTTATACAAGTTTTCCCACCAGGTTACCCCCCATGTGGACCTGGTGGTACACAGGACATGCAGTTACAACAGCCATTCAAAACAGAACAGTACAGTCAGACACTCCCAGCCAAGGCACACAATCCCTCCCCTCTGCCTGTGATATAATTACTGAACACAATTGGTTAACTTAATTATCACAGGCAGGAAAATATACAGTTTTACACAATATTCATAACTTCAAAACCATACATGCAGTTTCCATAAAAGTTGCCTATTCTGAATCAGCATAATCAGTTTACAAACATATCCAAAAATCATACACTTTGGTCCAGTGGTTCAAAAGATAGGTGGAAGTCCTATTTGACCGACTGCAAGCATGGCTTTCCTGCCCAAAAGAGTTCCATAGATTTGGGCTGTGCGGTTAGTCTATTTTACACTGAAAAAACCCATTCGAAGGCACGAACGGATGCCGTTAGTGCAAATAGCCCAGTTTAACGTGGCGTTCGAATAGTCGAACGCACTTCGATTTCCATCGAAGTGTCTAAGTCTAAAAGAAGGTAAGGTTCATCAGCGTTCATGCTGTCGTGTAGCCGTTTTCAGTTCCATGAGTTCGACGGCAAAACAGCTGACTGCATTTGACTAACAAAGATGGCCTCCGCCACGTATTCGATTATACGAACGGCGGCAACCCAGCGGTCGGAAATTAACCTGCGGTGGTAAATTGGCCGCACACTCCACTTGAGTGTAGTCCACCTGTTCGGTAATTGGTTCGGTAAGCCCCATTTATCGAACCATATCAGAAAAAGCCACAAACAGAGTATTTCCTGATGGAATACACCCAAAGCTATTAAAAGAGCTTAGTGGTGTACTAGCAAAACCATTAACAGATTTATTTAACCAATCATTGTTAACAGGAGTAGTCCCAGAAGATTGGAAGTTAGCGAATGTTGTGCCCATTTACAAGAAAGGTAATAGGGAGGAGTTGGGCAACTATAGGCCAGTAAGCCTTACTTCAGTAGTGGGGAAAGTGATGGAAACCATGTTAAAGGATAGGATTGATGAACATCTAAAACACATGGATTTCAAGATCAGAGACAACATGGGTTTACTTCAGGGAGATCATGCCAAACTAATCTTATTGATTTTTTTGATTGGGTAACTAAAATTATAGATCAGGGTGGTGCAGTAGACATTGCTTACCTAGATTTCAGTAAGGCTTTTGACACTGTTGCACATAGAAGGATTATCAATAAACTGCAATCTTTAAGTTTGGATTCCAATATTGTTGAATGGGTAAGGCAGTGGCTGAGTGACAGGCAACAGAGGGTTGTAGTTAATGGAATATATTCGAAGCTTGGACTTGTCACCAGTGGGGTACCTCAGGGATCTGTACTTGACCCATTCTCTTTAATATTTTTATTAGTGATATTGCAGAAGGTCTTGATGGTAAGGTATGTCTTTTTGCTGATGATACTAAGATATGTAACAGGGTTGATGTTCCAGGAGGGATAAGCCAAATGACAAATGATTTAGGTAAACTAGAAAAATGGTCAGAATTGTGGCAACTGACATTTAATGTGGATAAGTGCAAGATAATGCATCTTGGACGTAAAAACCCAAGGGCAGAGTACAAAATATTTGATAGAGTCCTAACCTCAACATATGAGGAAAGGGATTTAGGGGTGATTATTTCTGATGACTTAAAGGTAGGCAGACAATGTAATAGAGCAGCAGGAAATGCTAGCAGAATGCTTGGTTGTATAGGGAGAGGTATTAGCAGTAGAAAGAGGGAAGTGCTCATGCCATTGTACAGAACACTGGTGAGACCTCACTTGGAGTATTGTACACAGTACTGGAGACCGTATCTTCAGAAGGATATTGATACCTTAGAGAGGGTTCAGAGAAGGGCTACTAAACTGGTTCATGGATTGCGGGATAAAACTTACCAGGAAAGGTTAATGGATCTTAACATGTATAGCTTGGAGGAAAGACGAGACAGGGGGGATATGATAGAAACATTTAAATATATAAAGGGAATCAACACAGTAAAGGAGGAGACTATATTTAAAAGAAGAAAAACTACCACAACAAGAGGACATAGTCTTAAATTAGAGGGACAAAGGTTTAAAAATAATATCAGGAAGTATTACTTTACTGAGAGGGTAGTGGATGCATGGAATAGCCTTCCAGCTGAAGTGGTAGAGGTTAACACAGTAAAGGAGTTTAAGCATGCATGGGATAGGCATAAGGCTATCCTAACTATAAGATAAGGCTAGGGACTAATGAAAGTTTTTAGAAAATTGGGCAGACTAGATGGGCCGAATGGTTCTTATCTGCCGTCACAGTCTATGTTTCTATGTTTCTATGTTTCAGTCTGGGGACACAGTTTTAAAGGGACATTGTTCCCAAAAGTCTCAATATGCCCATATACTGTTTTTAAAGGGTCATACACCCCAGGGCCATAGTCATAAGGCAGGGGCAATGAGGCTCCTCCAAAGGCCAGGGGCAAAAGGGCAGTTTGTCACATACAAAGCCAGTGACAAAGGGCAGTTTGTCACACCCTTATTTACCACTATATCGTCTTAAAGCATAGAACTTAGCAGGGCTAACCATACAGATATCTTAGCCATAATTTTATATAGTTAGTAAGAGATCCTCTATTTAACTTATATAAATAATTGAGAATACAATATAAAATAAAGATTGTCTTGGAAGCAATAAAGTTTGTCTTT